AGCCAAAGTCCATGTCTCCATACGGTATTAAAGGCTTTACTAAAATCAACGAAAGCGCAATATAACTTTTTATTGTAATGTTGGTAAATATCAATTAGAGCTTTAAGAGTATAGACGTGGTCAATTGTTGAGTAATTATGACGAAAGCCAGCTTGCGCTTCGCTCATAAGATAAGTCTTTTCAGAGAAATGTTGTACCTTACACTGATAATAGACGTGAAGAGCTTACTGCAACTGACAATGTAATTCTCGGGGTCTTGAGGGCTACCTTTGTTCTTAAAGACAGGATTTATATAACCCACAAGCCATGATTTGGGCGTTACGCCACTGTCTAAAATAGCATTAAACAGCTTTTATTATATATAACTGTGTTAACCACATCTGTGACAATAAAATAAAGTTCCATGGCTACGTTTTGTGAAATATATCCTTGATAATTGCGGTCTATCCTACGTGTTTCTAAATCCGTCTGTATGTTCTACGCCCTGGCTTGTCTCAATGGTCGAAAACACCTATAGAGCCCAGTTTTTCCAAAATTGGAAGTCAAATGTTGATTCAGGTTCCAAGGGGGATTATTATAAATATTTCAAAACCCAACCAATCTTAGAAAAATATGTTCTTCTTCCCAAACATATATACTACCCAATTTTGAAGCTTAGAACATCTAACCATAAATTACCAATTGAGACAGGCCGATGGTTGGGCATTCCACGTGAAGATAGACAATGTCCACTTTGTGAATCAAACGCTGTTGGAGACGAGTTTCACTACTTGTTTAGATGTGAAGCTTTTCTCCAATTTCGACGTCAGTCTCTGAACACTAAATACCTAGAATTTCCAAATTTGTCCATCTTTAAGAAACTCTTGTCTACTACCAGCATAAGCGACCTTAAAGGCCTTTCTAAATTACTGAACCATGTATTTAATGCATTTACAAAATGAAATATTGTAATTATCTTACATCTTTCTATCGTGTAAGCTGCTGTCTTGTATATTATGTAAATTTATATACGCTTATCTCATGTACCGCCGTTGGCGGTTTGTAGAGAATAAAGAGGTTGAGTTTGAGTTTGTACACAGGCATCAGAACACTGATTGATGCTTTGATATAATCATTACAAATACCATCAAGGCCACAAGCCTTGTTATTATGCAAACCTTTAACAGCATTAAGTATTTCTGTTTTTGTAATCTTACAATCTAACATTTCACAATTAGGTACATTTGATAGGGCAAGACCAACATCATCGTCTTCACAAGCATTCAGATCTTTAAAATGGTTAAATAGTGTGTTTAAGCTAATCTTTTCAGCGCTCGATTTATTTGAAAAGGATTTTAGAATTGCCCAAAATGTTTATGACTTGTACGTGACAACCAAAACACCTAACACTTATCAAAATATTTACAATTATTCAATTCAATTCTTTATAACGGAAATAGTGTAGGCCATCGGCCCATGACTACACTACAATAATCAGTTGTCAAGACGTGTTAGCAATGCATATATAAAGATGATTTGATACATTTATGTTTAAGTTGTTTTACCTATCAATACTTAGTAGAGATACTTTTATCAGCAGAATATGTACACCTATCCTAACTGTTACGACGTAAATTGTAATAAAAAACGCAAATACTAATACTTGCAGCAAATTGTAATAAACTTGACGTAAATTGTAATAAAAACGTAAATTGTAATAAAAATTGACGTAGATTGTAATACGCAAATTGTAATAAAAATTGACGTAAATTGTAATAATTTTAGTTGTCGTAAAATGTAATAATTATTTACGTAAATTGTAATAACAGTTTTATTCACTCATAAATACGCGTGTGTTTGTCTTTTGTTGCATTTCATACATCATATAAGCTTGTTCGGGCGATAATTCAAGAAAGAAATGATGGATTTTGTTCAAATTTAGCTTAAACAAACTATTTAACCAGAGTGCTTGCATCGACCACACCCCCGTTTTGTGCGGATATATCGTCAGCCATTTGTGTCAAGATCGTTTAGTTGAGAGTCAAAATCGGGTTTCAATCGACTTGCAGAAATAACAATAAAGAATTGGAAGGTGTCATGAGTGGTGCTCGATAGGCCAATCATCCATGATTATGTTTCCATTAAGTTTTAATTGATTGCATGCGGTGGTACCGTAGCGATCGGCAAAGCATTCGGGTGGGGTGCACCGAAGTGTCCGGCCTTGACATGATGTATTGTACTGTGAAGCATTTCGAGTCTGGGGTTATCTCAAAAGCAATATTTTTTAATTCATTAATCCTCGCAAAGACACTAGGGCCTGTGATGTTACTGAGGTGATTTTCCATGCTTAATGTTGAGTCAAAGATGAAACCTAGATTTCGAGCATGGCTTTCTGGTTGAACAAACGTGTCTCCAATTTGAACTCCAGGAACCTTGAACTTTGATTTTGTTTGTTTGGAGCTGATGATGAGAATCTCAGTTTTGTCATCGTTCAGTTTCAGAAAATTACCGTTCATCCAACATTTGATCTCAGCTATGCAATTTGTTATTGTCTGCAGGGTATTCTGTACAGAAGATGCAGTTAGTGGCTTGAATCCAAGATATAGCTGAGTGTCATCAGCATAGAGATGATAACTAAGATTGTGGGCTGGGGCTGTATCACCAACGGGTATGATATATACAGTGAACAAGATTGGGCCTAGGACTGAGCCTTGTGGCACTCCAAACCTTAATTCTCTGCTCTCAGACCTTACCCCATCGATGATAACTGATTGCTTGCGTCCTGTGAGATACGATTGAAACCGTAATAATGCATCGCCAGTGACTCCAAGACGTGACGGGAGTTTCCAAGAGAGTGGAATGGGTATATCTAACACACTTACATGCATGTAGAGTCGAGGGGTGGGTGGGTGTTCTAACGGGTATATCTACGAGGGACGTTCAAAAAGCAGTCAGCCTCACCTAGAATATGATACAAATGCAGCTGTTTTTATGTTTTATTTTGCTACATATTATCTGTCAGCCTCAAGCAAATTGGTTTTGCTATGTTGCAGCCTCACGATCCCCATTTTGTGTGACTTTGTATCTTGGCTTGGTACTCCCAAAACCGTAAAATCTGCAAAAAATGCATCACAAACTTCAGGAAACAAAATATGCTATGTTTGAGATTGGTAGAAGTCGGCTAGAATCAAACTTAGATATTAAACTGCACAAAAAGCAATTTGAAACTACAATCGCTTGTTCAAATAACTCCCCCTTCTGTTTACTGAAAGAACTCGAGAAAGAAATGATGGATTTTGTTCAAATTTGGTACCAAGGTTTATTGACGGGATTTACCAACACCACTTGAATTTAGTGACCTTGAGGTCATTTTAAAGGTCACAGCGAAGGTGTAACAGTTTTGCAAATGTCAAGCTTGGTAGCCGCGAATTCAGGGAAGAATTAATAGATTTTGATCCAATTTTATATAAAGGTGTATTGGCGGGGAATCCCAAAAATATTTACACCTGTCATAAAACTTCCCAAAATATTTACACCTGTCATAACACTTCCCAAAATATTTACACCTATCATACTACTTAACACTTCATAACACTTCCCAAAATATTTACACCTGTCATAACACTTCCCAAAATATTTACACCTGTCATATCATAAACCTTTACTTCCCAAAATATTTACACCACCTGTCATAACACTTCCCAAAATATTTACACCTGTCAAAATATTTACACCTGTCAAAACACTTCCCAAAATATTAACACCTATCATACTACTTCCCAAAATATTTACACCTATCATAACACTTCCCAAAATATTTACACCTGTCATAACACTTCCCAAAATATTAACACCTATCATACTACTTCCCAAAATATTTACACCTATCATAACACTTCCCAAAATATTTACACCTGTCATAAAACGTCCCAAAATATTTACACCTGTCATAAAACTTTCCAAAATATTTACACCTGTCATAACACTTCCCAAAATATTTACACCTGTCATAACACTTCCCAAAATATTTACACCTATCAAAACACTTCCCAAAATATTTACACCTGTCAAAACACTTCCCAAAAATAACACCTATCATACTACCTATCATACTACTTCCCAAAATATTTACACCTATCATACTACTTCCCAAAATATTTACACCTGTCATAAAACTTCCCAAAATATTTACACCTGTCATAAAACGTCCCAAAATATTTACACCTGTCATAACACTTCCCAAAATATTTACACCTGTCATAACACTTCCCAAAATATTTACACCTGTCATAACACTTCCCAAAATATTTACACCTGTCATAACACTTCCCAAAATATTTACACCTATCATAACACTTCCCAAAATATTTACACCTATCATAACACTTTCCAAAATATTTACACCTGTCATAAAACTTTCCCAAAATATTCACACCTGTCATAAAACTTCCCAAAATATTTACACCTGTCATTGTGTTAGGGAGAGTAATCCCCGAACACCAGGTGTGTCCTTTCTTCTGGACGTCAGTGTATTCATATAAGGGCTAGCCACAGATTGGGTTGTGGAATGTGACAATGCATGTGTTTCCAGTGTGACCACTCTCATGTTTTCCTAACCAACATCTATGGCCCCGGTTATAAACGATTTGGTCCTGAATGCCATGAAACAAAAGAAACAAAAGCCTTCAGAACAACAGGAGATTGTTTATATGTGGTTGTAAAACTTTCATAACGCGAAGACATATTTCCCCGCGAGATGTATCTGATATATTTCAATTTATTTTAAAACGAATCACTTTGCAATAATATATTCAATAGTTACACTTGTGATTCGTTTGATGACATATAATTGATTATGTTGTCTTCATGAAAACAGAAAATGTTTTGTAATGCTATGATGTTCTTACAAAAATATTTTCATCTATGCTTTATTGTCATGTTGTTTTTGTGTATTGGCCTCGTGCAAATACACTTCCTTTTCTCCTTCCACTTCGCCATTAACAGTTTCGCTTTTTTTACAGAATGTAATAGTATAAACTGGGGAATAAATCAAGAGGACATGAGCCGATGTAAGTTAACCGAAGTGAGAACTTCAATTTTGTCACATAAAATATCCATTACCGTACACTGACATTTTGTTTCATTTTATCACTGTTGTGTTTCCTTTAGATGTACCTTATCTCAGAAGAAACTTGTTATAAAATTTGAAATATCCTATAGTTCGAGACGATTATCTTAGATGAAAACTATATATCTTCCCCAAAAGAAACGCATATGTGGTTTTCGAGAGAGTCATTCTGTCAACAAGAAGACACAAAGATACGTGGAACTTATATGTCTGGATAAAGTGAAACAAACTTCATCAAACATTCTTTTGCAAAACTGTGGATGTGGCAGTCACGTCAGGGTCACTACTGTGGTCAAGTGTGTACCACGTGTGTGTCCACCTTTGCCTGAAGTACTTACTGTACCGGATCTCTTGCCCATGGAACCAAAACACCAGGGATGACACACTGCCCATTCTTCCTGAAGGGCTGACACTTCCGACACCTTCCAAATCTGATTAAAAGGAAAACGTCAATAAACAAACGTTGGGGGAGCCAATGATGATGAGACTGAAGCTGTTAAAGTCGAGTACGTGGAGTCACAGTAATGTAGGACGATAGTCCCAGCTGAACGACTTGTGAAAAACATAAACTTTCCAAAGTGACCTGTGACACATTCCTGGACTTGCGCGTGAGAACTGCTTTCAGTTTCCTAAGACAGGGAATACTGCAGAAGCCAAAGGTCATCGAAACAACTCCATCAAGAACAAGATGACCTTATTGAAACCTTTTTCATTGAAAGAACATCTAAGCTAAATGTCCACGTACTTTCAATCTACGATCATATATAAACATTGTTACCATCAAGGCGTTTCTTTTTGCTTTTTCAGACCTTTGCTCATGTTTTCGGTCACTAGTTCGCAGTCCCCCATCTCGATAGTTTACAGCATATTGTAATATTGCTGAAGCTACACTTTCTGCACTCATCATGTCAACAGGTGAAGTGTGAATCTCATGTGCACATGTTCCATTATTCTTTCAGCAGACTTTGCAGAACAATTTCAGTTTGATAACGGCGCCGCTCCATTACTCATAGAAGGTACGTTATAGCAGATCCTTCACTTTACAACATGTGTGATTGTGTTGTAAGGTATTGATTCCCATGCTGGAACCAACAATTTAAAGGAATTAACTGTCAGGAAGTTTACAAATTTATACAAATGACTACAAAGGTATTTATAATTTAGGACAATTTAGTACAAATTCAAAGGCAATATGATACGAAAGTAATGGTTTTAGCAATAAAGACAGAGATGGTAATAGTCACCTCCCTGCAACATCGAGAAGTTTCCAGACTAGGCTGAGTATCCAGGGTAAGAGTGACATCCACACAATTGCCGGTCTTCTTGTAACGTGAGATGTGACATGAGATGAGCGGCTATAGCTAGTCCCCTTTATATACACAAGAACAGGTTCAGGAACTTCCCTTAGGTAGCAGACCTAGACCCCTGGGGTCAGGACCATGCAGTACTTTCCAGATCTTTCTGACTGAATCTAGTACTAGTCTAAATTTAGCAGACCACTGTCCCTTACTCGTCGTGTTAGGCTGCACACAATAATGTGGACAGGCTCGCTGCCCTGGTTCGTGGCGTGTTTCCGTCCCATGGTAGCCTTTTTACAAGCCATTGTGATATAGCTGGAATATTGCTGGATGTGGTGTAAAACAACATTCATTGTAACAGATGTTGCTGATGTTCATGTGTTATGTGCCTGCAGCATTCACGGACGAGTTGTTACGGCAGATGACAACAGAGCCACACATTGATCGGCTAAGCATGGAACAGGCACAGTACCTCAAAGACCGCCTTAAGGGCCTGTATGCCTTCCTTAAAAACCACCCTGCACTTATGGATAGAAGGCTAAAGGTTGGATCCAGGAAACCACAGATACCGCAGAGAAATAAATATATACCGCAGGTTGGTACAATTTCAAAATTTTCACGTTTCAGCTGGTGAATTTATTTAGAGTGAGTATCAGGGAGAATACGTATTTCATACCTGGACACGTCATCGATTCATTGAACGGGGGAATACTGGCATCAAAATCATCGGACGTTTCTCACCCAGTTGATGTTTCTAATATCTACAGCATGTACGCCTCTTTGCTCACTGTATACCAGAATTCCTTGAATAAAGGCCCGGTCTAAGAACCTTCAGAGAGGGAGAGAGGATTTAACAATATTCAAGCCAGTAACACTGCGGGGAACTTCACACATAATACCCATGTGGAAAACCTGGGTCCTCACCCCAACAACCTTACCCTCACCACCCTAATTTTTACCGCTTTGGAAAAGACATAATTAAACTAAACTAAACGCTGAGTCAAACTACGCACCGAACACATAACTTCAGATCAAACTGGAAGATTGCCACGGTTTAAAATCGAAATACAAATGAACGAACGAATGAATGGTCAATTTAAAGATATATCCGGAGATTAATCAATTTCATAACACAGTGTCCCACAAGCTACAACATTGTGACATATTTGTATGATTATTGCCACGAATGGTTCCCAGTACTCTATACAAGTGAGCATCAACTGAGCATCACCTGATACCATGGGCAATTTGTAAACTTTTAGTCTAAACAGGTGGTCATACCCCAGCATACTGAAATGGACAAGGTATCTAAAACACTATGGAGCTCATGTTCACGTGCAGCCATTCGCATTCTAGTGTGAATTTCATAACGGCAGTGTGTACACAACAATGTTCTGAACTAATTTATAAGACAAAAGTACTAAAACTTAACTTTTGTGCCATGGTAAGAGGAAGACTTTCAGCAAATACACCATGGCAAGTTATTAGCATGCGTGACGCACGGATGTCCTGTCTCAGCTTCGGTGTAAACTTGAGTGAGTGAGTGAGTTTAGTTTTACGCCGCACTCACAAATTTCCAGCTATACGGCGGCGGTCTGTAAATAATCGAGTCTGAACCAGACAGTCCAGTGATCAACAGCATGAACATCGATCTGCGCAATTGGGAACCGATGACATATGTCAACCAAGTCAGCGAGCCTGACACCCCGATCCCGTTAGTCGCTTATTACGACAAACATGGGTTACTGAAGATCAATATTCTAACCCAGACCTTCACGGGTAGTGTGAACTTGAACATTAACCACAAAGTTATAAGTTGACATGTGAGGAAGCACTTAACCACAGGTGATGTAAAGGATCACCCAGGGCCTGGAAGAAGGATGAAGACCGATGACCCGTGCCGAAGGATTGCACCGACAATGCAGAGCAGGAGTCGAACCCTCCACCATTACCGTCAGAAGGAGGTTGTGGGCTGATGATCTGTGGGAATCATTTCATGGTGATTCAGGGATGGTGTGTGGTTGCGTTTTGTATGACTGCAAATTGGATCTCATAACAGTAACGGGGCCACACAATGGTCAACTTTATCAACAGAAAGTACTGGATACCGCTGTCGTGCCACATTTTGATGGCCATCCCCTTGCCAGGCGTCCGACGATCATGGATGACCAACACCATCGAAGCATTACCATGGCCCTCACGGAGCCTCGATATGAACCCAGTCAAGTCATGTCAAAGTCAAAGGTCTTTTATTGTATCAAAGGCATCCCATATACAAGTTTACATAAATACACTGGTTGAGAATATACCGATTAGTAGATACAGTGGAAAAGATACAAATTCATTTAACAATTGGTGGTAATCAGGAGGACTTTTTAGAGTAAGGTAAATCTGAAATCCCAGTCAACAAGTTATTTCTTAGGTCCATTCCATGTTTTACAAATAGAGATAATCTAAATATTACATCGGCATCATTCGATGACAAAATAGAAACAAACCCTATTCTACTCATCTTAGATGAGAAACATTCTGGTATATATTTAGTTCGTATTTCTGCATAATGACATTCAAAGGTAAAATGTATTTCGTCTTCTATGGCAGAGTTACATAATGGACAAATTCTTTGTATTCTTTCAAGTGATATATTCCGTCCATAATTAATCATTAGTTTTGACAAGCCAAGTCTGTATTTAATATATATATTTCTTAGGTTACTCTTTGTTAAAACTAATCAATATTTGTCAATAAACGTTTTGTAAAGATCATAACGTGAACTGTTTCCTAAGTTGGATTGCCATCTTTGATAGAACATATTTATTGCTACTTTACGAAAATCATTTAGAAATAGATATAGATCGCCAACAAATTGATTAAATCATACAAACCCATATCCATGTGAGAACCATAGTGTCCTTATATGCGATACCCATGTAACCTTACCGATACTATCAAGATGAAAGAGCATGTTATAAGCTATTTTCGGAAGCCGATGTTCTGGCATATGGATGATATTAAATCAATATTTTAACCACTTTATTTGCGAGCTAATGTAAAATGGGTATCTATCACATTCTCCATATATCATATTATTTGGAGTTGCTAATCCAACACAAAGAAACTTTTTACATGCCAGTAGGTGAATTCTTTCTAAACATTCAAATCTTTGGTAACCCAACACTTCGGATCCATACAATAGAATTGGCTTTTTTTTTTGGTATCAAATAATTTGTAAAATACATTTGGTGTAATAACTCCAAGTTTATGCGAAACCGACATCATATTAAGTAAAGCTCGTTTCTCTCGCAGTGATAAGTCAGAAACACATTTGTCCATATCCATGTTGAATTAAACATTATACCAAGATACTTATAACCATTAACTACATTAATTCGTTGTTCATTTAAGTACCATCTCTCCTTAAAATTTAAAGGGCCTCCCTTTCTGAAAACTATAATTTCTGTCTTATCTAAATTTACAGATAAATTCCATTCCTTAGTGTATTATCTAATACATTCAACTGATTCTGTAGACCAATCACTGTGTCAGATAGTAAAATAACATCATCGGCAAAAAGAAGCATAAGGATTTCTAGGATGTCAGGATACATTTGTAAACCATGCTTACCGTTACTTGAAATTTCATAATACAATTCGGTAATGAAAAACGAAAATACCAGAGGACTCAGTATACATCCCTGACGTAAGCCGGACGGACAATCGAAAAAATCAGTAACACCATAATCACTACGTACACATGATTTGAAATTTGAATACATTGATTTTAGAGTATTAAACATCTTCCCTTGTAGACCAGCTTTTCCCAAACAACAACATAATTTATACCGATCAAGTGTATCAAATGCTTTTTTTAAAATCAATAAAAGCAACGTATAATTTGTGTTTACGACGTGATAAACATTTCTGAACTACACTATTTTTTTCGAACACCAGCTTGAACTTCCGGTATCTTATCTCTCATATTGGCCCAGTTAGTAAGTCTATTATATAAAACAGCATTAAAAACTTTCCCAAGGACACTCATTAATGATAACCCTTATAGTTGGCAGGGTCTCTCGGATCGCCTTTTTTATGTAAAGGGACTGTTTCTGAACAAGACCAACTGCTGGGAAATATTTGATTATCAAAGAGTTTGTTGAAACATTTATGGAGAAATGGCATTATATCAAATTGGGAACAATTTAAGCATCTCTATCAGCACTTGATCGGGTCCGGCAGATTTTCCGTTTTTCAACTTGTTTATTGATGATGTAATTTCACGTTCAGTTATATTAGAATTTAGAATGAATGCATCAATATATGTGAACTGATCTGAAAAGATTTCATTTTCATCATCCAAGTGAGGAGAAAAAACATTGTTATTTGCAAAAACATCTTTAAAATGGTAAAGCCATTATGTTTTCGTTATAAGATTATTCTGTTTGGATTTGTTTTGTAATGATCTTATCTGTTTTCAAAAGCTAGATTGACTACTTATGCTTCTATGCAATCTTTCTACTAATTTCTTACATGAAATGGATTTAAATTTTCTGCAACAAAATTTATAATGATTTCTTTGTCTACAATATGCTATTCTGTTAGCGACAGTACTTTGTGTTCTAAATCTCCTAAGTGCCATACGTGTTTCTCGTTTCGCTTGTCTACATTCTAGATTTAGTGTTTTTTTTATTATTAGCAGTTTGCGAACTATGTCGGACTAGCTTTCTCATGCAGCTAGCAGAGTCTGATACAATCTCGACAAAGTGACTAATTGCCTTTTCAATAGCATTATCAATTTCTTTTAGGAGCATTTCTTTGTTTTCAGCAATCTTATATCTCAGGTTATCAAGAAACATATTAGAATAAGAATCATGCCATACAATTTTCTCTGATGCTGTTGGATCCATGCATGAATCATTGTTACACCTATTACCTATATTTGGAAATTTACACATCAATTCTAGTGGGAAGTGATCAGAATCAGATCGATCACCGATACTGAACTTATTGATGAACTGAAAAAAATCAGGTGAACTTAAAAAAATAGTCATTTTCACTGGAGCCATGTTGGCTACAATAAGTCAATTCACATTAGTATCACCATAGTCTCGTCCATTTACGATGTAAAATTTAAAAGAATAGCATAAATCCAACAACATTTTGCCAGATCTATTTACAACTGTATCATGTGAAGTACGATCTTCAACAAGGTCATCCTCCTCATCAGGGGAAGGGGTAGTATGCCTGAGGGTATCGTCGTGATTGCTAATATCAGGGTTATTTCTCTCACCTGTTCTCGCGTTCATATCTCCACAGATTAAATTATATGAATTTGAAAACATTTCATTATTATCTATTCTTCTACTTTTACAATATTACACTTGATGGTTACATGGTTATAGTATGGTGACCCTAATGGGGGCACACAGGTACATAATAAATTCACATTTTTGTCAATGCTAAATAAGTCTTTAAATAAGGAGATACCAATTATGTTGTCTCTGTCTGATTGTATAACATTATAGAAACTCCTCAGTGTTTGACGTACGCACAGACAAATACCACCTGATAAACGTCCGTAGTTGGATAACTAAACTGCAGGACATTAGAAAGTATCATACACACGAAGCCAGTTGTTTCCTGGAATATTTACAACAAATGTCTCAACAAGTCGAACATCTTCGGGAGTATATTGAACGCCACGTTCGAGTTATATATCCTCTTGGTCACAATCTGGAATTGGCAGTGACGCTCCATGAGGAATGGCAGAGAATTCCGTTGCTGAAAAATGGACGCTGGATTACCAGGAGGAGACTTACAGATGGCATCCGTGCGATCGGTGGATACACTAGACATTGATGTGGTCATACAATCACAGCCATCATTATTTGTGATATGTGGAAGAATCACATTTTGGCGTTGTCAACGTGACCATACCTTTCGGCATTGTTGATATTCACTTTTTGTGCATCCTCTGAGACTGCAAGCAAATTGTTACCAAATTTCTGTTTTGTTTTTGTTTAAAACAGTAAAATAATTTACATTTACCTATTTAACATGTATAGTGTTTTTCAAAAAAAGTGGGTGGTTGATTAATCCTCGCGCTTGTCTATATGTCTACATATGAATAGTAACAGGACACTTTACTTCGCCCAATATATAAATATCTGTTTTCATTAACGGCAGTTATGTAGGTAATGAATATCCAATGCCACATCGTTAAGAAGGCGACTTGTTCAGAAATGAAAGCAGGAGGCTGTGGTTCTCGTTGTAATCTGAACATCATTAGCTGCAAGCAATTCCAAGAGTGTCAAGTGACACGAGCCATTGTTTCTTTTTGTGTGAACGACAAAGTCTAAAAGTGTATCAGATAGTACCATTTGATAAATGTCAGGCAGTTGCTAAGAGGACGTAAATACGCTGAAAACGTAGACGTAAATGTCAGGATTAGATTAACCTAACTGAAACTACACTATTATAAACTAATGACGTCCCCCGCATTATCCAGTGTATCATATCTCCCATATTCGTGATATTTAACCCCTTATCAGTTCGGGACCATTTGTAGAACCACGTTAATATATAGTCATGACACTGCTTCGTATTGGCGGGATACATCCGGGCATATGGACTCTACAGCCTTAGTTATCCCCGCAACGCGGGTGTGTGTGAGAGTGTGTGTGTTGGGGAGGAATTCGTCTTTTCCGGAGCAGACCATAAAAACCGTTCAATATTTCTTCACCAAACTTGGCACATAGATAGGGTCACTCTTGAAGTGTTTCCATGGCAACAAGTTTGACTTCGACTGAAATTAATTATAGTGCTCTTTTCAGGTGCAGAACTTCAATGTTTCTTCACCAGATGTGGCACATAGATAGGTGGTGAACTGTGTTTTTTTTATAGGTTTGGGTTTCTGAATAAACTACTTTATGCCTTTCTTTGGCAACAAGTTCCATTACTGAAATTGGTGGTAGTTCTCCTTTCCGGAGCAGAACTTAAAACCTTTTTCCCTCCTAGAGGGTATCCAAGAAGCTAATGACATAAATCAACAGTACCACTCTATTTCCAGTATCAATATTACTGAGGTGCATCAAACCCTACAACTGACATAGTCATAACTAGTAGACATATTCATGAAGAGCATTTTACCATTGCGGTGGATATTATTGACTGTCTCCTTGTGGACGTCACTGTAATGTATGGCTGGCGTCCTGTCCGCTCTCTGTACAACATTAGGATTACGTATTAATCGATCTACATTTTATCATTATTACCTCCATCAAATTCCAGGTTAATAAAACTCATGTTGTGATGTTGCGACTTAATGGCCAGGGGTTGTCAGGCTCGGTGACCAGGCCAACTCATGTTGTGATGACGCGACTTAATGGCCAGGGGTTGTAAGGGTCGGTGACCTGGCCAACTCATGTTGTGATGACGCGACTTAATGGCCAGCGGTTGTCAGGGTCGGTCACCTGGCCAACTGCATGTTGTGATGACGCGACTTAATGGCCAGCGGTTGTCAGGCTCGGTCACCTGGCCAACTGGATGTTGTGATGACGCGACTTAATGGCCAGGGCTTGTCAGGCTCGGTCACCTGGCCAACTGCATGTTGTGATGACGCGACTTAATGGCCAGGGGTTGTAAGGCTCGGTGACCTGGCCAACTCATGTTGTGATGACGCGACTTAATGGCCAGGGCTTGTCAGGGTCGGTCACCTGGCCAACTGCATGTTGTGATGACGCGACTTAATGGCCAGCGGTTGTCAGGCTCGGTCACCTGGCCAACTGGATGTTGTGATGACGCGACTTAATGGCCAGGGCTTGTCAGGCTCGGTCACCTGGCCAACTGCATGTTGTGATGACGCGACTTAATGGCCAGGGGTTGTCAGGCTCGGTGACCTGGCCAACTGCATGTTGACCTACCCAGGCGCCATGATCGAACTATTGATCACTGGTTAGTCTGGCCCAATACTGATTATTTAGAGGCAGTCGTCCAATCGCTGGCATATTGCCTTGTACCGGATAACACAATAAACCAACTTAGTTTCAGAGGGGTACACAAAGTCCGCAGTCTAGACTGACAGTTGTCCGACTTCCATTTTTGCGTAAGCCGCGGTTGCTGAACGACTTTGTGTGGGTGAAGGTGTGGGTTCGAATCCCGGATGGGACTCAACTCGAAAATGTACAAGAATCTGTACTTTACTAAGAAAGTGTAGTCCCAAATACAACGTAGTATGGTTGGATCTTTTGTTAATCTGATCCTTATTCAATGTTCTTTCAGAAACGTACCTTCCAACATGCCCTCTCAGAACCCGTATGTCCGTCTCGGACTGAATGGAGGCTGCTGAGGTCAGCACGTGATATCAATGACACGGAAGTAGAAATCTTCCAGCCGCCAGAGGGCAACGAAGGTCACCAATGGTTCTACACAGTCACCTGTAACACACAACATGAAATCATGTCCAACCCAGAATGCCCTGCCTGTTGTCGAGGTATCCATCGGACAAGGTAGCGTACCCCTTTTGTTATTGCACTGGGTGAAGTATGTTTAAACTGAAGAACATGTACAGGGATTGTACAGGGTGAAGTATGTTTAAACTGAAGAACATGTACAGGGATTGTACAGGGTGAAGCATGTTTAAACTGGAGAACATGTACAGGGATTGTACAGGGTGAAGTATGTTTAAACTGGAGAAACATGTACAGGGATTGCACTGGGTGAAGTATGTTTAAACTGAAGAACATGTACAGGGATTGTACAGGGTGAAGTATGTTTAAACTGGAGAACATGTACAGGGATTGCACTGGGTGAAGTATGTTTAAACTGAAGAACATGTACAGGGATTGTACAGGGTGAAGCATGTTTAAACTGGAGAACATGTACAGGGATTGTACAGGGTGAAGCATGTTTAAACTGAAGAACATGTACATGGATTGTACAGGGTAAAGCATGTTTAAACTGGAGAACATGTACAGGGATTGTACAGGGTGAAGCATGTTTAAACTGGAGAACATGTACAGGGATTGTACAGGGTGAAGCATGTTTAAACTGGAGAACATGTACAGGGATTGTACAGTGAAACATGTTTAAACTGAAGAACATGTACAGGGATTGTACAGGGTGAAGCATGTTTAAACTGGAGAACATGTACAGGGATTGTATAGGGTGAAGTATGTTTAAACTGGAGAACATGTGCAGGGATTGTACAGGGTGAAGCATGTTTAAACTGGAGAACATGTACAGGGATTGTACAGGGTGAAGCATGTTTAAACTGGAGAACATGTACAGGGATTGTACAGGGTGAAGCATGTTTAAACTGGAGAACATGTACAGGGATTGTACAGGGTGAAGCATGTTTAAACTGAAGAACATGTGCAGGGATTGTACAGGGTGAAGCATGTTTAAACTGAAGAACATGTACAGGGATTGTACAGGGTGAAGCATGTTTAAACTGGAGAACATGTACAGGGATTGTACAGGGTGAAGCATGTTTAAACTGGAGAACATGTACAGGGATTGTACAGGGTGAAGCATGTTTAAACTGGAGAACATGTACATGGATTGTACAGGGGTAAAAGCATGTTTAAACTGGAGAACATGTACAGGGATTGTACAGGGTGAAGCATGTTTAAACTGGAGAACATGTACAGGGATTGTACAGGGTGAAGCATGTTTAAACTGAAGAGCATGTACATGGATTGTACAGGGTGAAGCATGTTTAAACTGGAGAACATGTACAGGGATTGTACAGGGTGAAGCATGTTTAAACTGGAGAACATGTACAGGGATTGTACAGGGTGAAGCATGTTTAAACTGAAGAACGTGTACAGGGATTGTACAGGGTGAAGCATGTTTAAACTGAAGAGCATGTACATGGATTGTACAGGGTGAAGCATGTTTAAACTGGAGAACATGTACAGGGATTGTACAGGGTGAAGCATGTTTAAACTGGAGAACATGTACAGGGATTGTACAGGGTGAAGCATGTTTAAACTGAAGAACATGTACAGGGTGAAGCATGTTTAAACTGGAGAACATGTACAGGGATTGTACAGGGTGAAGCATGTTTAAACTGGAGAACATGTACAGGGATTGTACAGGGTGAAGCATGTTTAAACTGGAGAACATGTACAGGGATTGTACAGGGTGAAGCATGTTTAAACTGGAGAACATGTACAGGGATTGTACAGGGTGAAGCATGTTTAAACTGAAGAGCATGTACATGGATTGTACAGGGTGAAGCATGTTTAAACTGGAGAACATGTACAGGGATTGTACAGGGTGAAGCATGTTTAAACTGAAGAACATGTACAGGGTGAAGCATGTTTAAACTGGAGAACATGTACAGGGATTGTACAGGGTGAAGCATGTTTAAACTGGAGAACATGTACAGGGATTGTACAGGGTGAAGCATGTTTAAACTGGAGAACATGTACAGGGATTGTACAGGGTGAAGCATGTTTAAACTGAAAAACATGTACAGGGTGAAGCATGTTTAAACTGGAGAACATGTACAGGGATTGTACAGGGTGAAGCATGTTTAAACTGAATGATACAGTTAACTATATTACTAGATTAGCATACCGAGCTTTGGAGGGCCATCAAAGACACACCTTGAGGAAGGAAATGATTTATAAACACAGTCTTAGATTACAATGTGGCATCAATTTGTCACATCTCCAGAATATGTTCAGAAGTGGAATGGAACATATCTCCTGAATTATGTTACCATGTGCCAGTACTTGGGCACCAGAAATACACATATACTTTTGAATGGTATTACTGGGGGTGCCTCTGTGATTATCATTGTTTCTGATTTTGTCAGAGAGTTATTTAAGGATGTATCCATGTGTGTAACCGCAGAGAGTCGCTGTGTCTGTTGACAAACATGTTGTTCTAACTTCAGTATCTCACGTGTATCAACGTGTTTCATTCAAGAGGCGGAAAACTGTAGCCTTCGAAACAACTGCTTTGTTTCAAATCAAGCTTTAGGGGTTACCTTGGATAGACGGGGGTACACCTTTGGGAAGTTAGATGAACGGAGAAAGATGGATTGACAATACGTGTTTAACATTGACTGACAGATGTCATTTTCCGTAGACATTCTTATCACTCAATCACATAGCTGAGGGAAGTGACTGTGTTATTCTAACTTGTGTGCATCTAAATCATGTTCCCTCTTAATTGGCGTTGTGGATCTTAGGAAAATGGAAAGCGCCCATCTCAGCTAAACCCTGCAGACAGAGAGTTCTTGATTGTACAGGGCCTACTGGAACGTTCTGAGCCAAACTGCAAGGGGGTATATGTTACATCTGTAACAGTGATAAGTCATTTTATTGTTAGAACATTAGTATATGATATTTATATAGCGCACATATCCAGGCAACTAGTGCTTGCTCAAGGCGCTGGTATTTTTTTCCTCGATCATTGGATGTCATCATTTATTGTTCACAAAATTCAAACTATCAAAATTCAGATGTCAAGGAGAACACGAAGATCGTCAATCATGATTGGGTACCCATGACTGGGTAAACTAATTTGCATAAATTGATAATCAAACTTACTATACAGAGTTTTTTTAAACTACGTGTTACTGTAAATATATTTCACATAAGTTTATTATAGTGTGATAAAAACAAAACTTGGCCATTATACAACTTGAATACAAATCTTGTAATCTACGTTACCGTAACTCTACCATATCTTTTATATAGAAATATAGAAACATTACTGGTGAAATGTTGCTATTCTATTACACAGAATTACATTAAAAGATACAAAAGAGATTAACTGTATCCTCGTTTCATTCATTATTTAAAGTACAGACAATACATAAGCACAGTGAAAATTCATCCAAACTGTAATCACATTCAAACTGTAATCACATCCAAACTGTAAAAGGAAGAGCATCACCTTCACTTAGTTATTACTACTGAATAGGTCCGGTCATTTTAAAACCCTTTTGGTGACACTGGATGTACATGTTTTATCTTATGGTGGTCATGTAGATTACATCCTTAAAAAATCTCTACAACTTTAAACTTGTGAAACATCATGGTGAGAAATCGGCTGAAATTTAGTGGCTATGAGATTGATATTGTATTGTCCCAACGTGAAACTGCAAATAAGGCATACTATCTAATGAATAGATATAATGTTTATAATAATTATATGGTCATTTACATGGGGTAACGTAGATTACACTTTTTTGGAGACATCACATTAAACGTAAATTCTAAAACAAAATCCAATGTTCTGGGTACGGACGAAAGGGACAATACCTCATGTCGAAAATGTAATCTGTTTTATTCACATTATATGACTATTTACTTTGAAATATTCACTCAAAATGTTATACTATCATTGGAGACAAGCACATTTTGGTGATTGTGACTAACCTTTTACTCTGAGTCACACACATGAATACCAGATCATTAACAATTTCGAAGTCTCGGGTACCTTCTAAGCCTGTCGCCTAATATAAATATGAAATGAACAAGTGAAATCAGTAAAAACTTCTTTTTTAATGCGGACACACGTATAATTACAAATGGTGCACATTTCGTAAGAATAGGTGTTGAAATGACCTTCTCTCTGTTTCTTAAACTTGGCAAAACTGACTACCGCGCCGTCATGAAGTACCTGGAATGGGGAAATGAGGACAAGATGTTAAATTTGAGGAGTTCAAGAGGGGGAAAGGGAGGGAGACGCGATAATGATCCAAGATCAGGGAGAGCTGCAATCACTAAGGACAATGGTGATGAAGAACACGATATGAGTATTGGTGATCGACGTCTCATCACCAAATATAGTTGGCATCTCTCGTGATAGAGTGGAGGATAAATTCGGAGGAAACAACTGGGCATGACAAAGTTTTCAGAACTGCGAGTACCAAAGCTCCTGATTCCTGTTCAGACACGCCCCAGATTCATCATCTATCTTTTGCGTCATTTTGAAGGATATCCATCTCACATCTTTTGGAGCAGTGGGTCGTATTCTCCTTCGCCAACGAAGTCTGTTCCATCTGCTCGCGAGGTGATGGCTTCGTTTTCCTGAGATCACTCCCAGAAGGTCACGTCATTTCTGGTCAGTAATATTTTGATTTGCTTAGTGCCGGCGTAAGCATCAATGCAGGCCATCGTAGAGGTGTGTTGATCCACCAGGACAATGTACCTTCACATGAGTCTGTTGTCGCCATTGCTGCAATGCATTACAGTGGCTTGCATCCGTCCATATTCACCAGGTTGCCAGAGTTGAAAAAATGCGTGGTAAGCTGCTGCTGATGGTGATGTCATGATGAAGCCATCTGCATCAGTGAGATCCAGACACCCCGTCATCGTTGTCAGAAAAATGAAAAAATCGAAGGGGATCAGAGTTAGACTTGGAACTTTTCAGTGAACCCTCGTTCTTCGTAACCCCCCATGCTATCATAATGCTCTGTCAGTTAGAGCCAGAGGGTTTCACTACAACAATATACGCCCTCAACCAGCGTCACTTCCGGCGTCAC